TACTTAAACCTTATTTTCAATAAGCAATCCTGAAAAATATTTGGGGGTGCTTAACTTTTTTCCAGGTGTATATAAAAAAGTAAGAAAGTTAATTTTAAAGGTTAAAGGTAAAATGAGCAGTCAAAAATAACCGATGCTGTGGTGCAAATAAACAATGTGTATAGTTTTGTAGTGTTTATAAAACAAACAAAAAATCTTAAGTTATATGTATTTGTTACCCTTAAAACTAATTTGTTAGGGTGTTTCAGTTAAGACTTATGAGAAGTTATTTCTTGTTACATAATGATAAAAGTGTGACAGTCAAATCTCACTATTTGTTCACTGTTGACAGATGTCTTTTCTCTGGTATTAGTTTAAAAGTGGGGACGTATATACGTAAATAACTCTTGCATTGCTTTGAGTGAAAATTCTAAACAAACACGCAAGCTTTACAAAATCATTTACAACCAGAGTTTCATTGTCTTTTCTGGTTCAACAAGTCAAACAAATTATTGATATTTCCTTGACATAACTTAGAAAACTAAGGATAAAAAAGATTGTTTCATTATGATAAAAATAATCAGTTAATGAATTTCGTTTTTCAGACTTTAGTTTTTACAATGAATAAAAAGCAATATAATGTGAAAAGTCTAAAATTTGCCGTCGATGTTTTCAGAATATAAATTATTCATCACAGACGAAACCTTACAATGTGTAAAACTTAAAGTGGAATAAAAACCAAGAAAAATCCTATGCTTCATCTTGATCACGTGGATTTTCAAAAAGCAAATTAAACTTATTACTAAAATTAATACTCATGAGACAGCTGAAAGGCTGACCTGGACCTGTTACAGAAATTTATGTTCTTAGAAATTCCAAATATATAAACAAATGTGTATATATTATTTATATATATAAGATTCAGTACGTATCACGTAACTCCTAGACCATAGGTCGCACCAACTTCTAAGTGGTACCAAACGAATAGTTTCGGCCCCGAGATTTGCATGAAGGTAAAACATTTTACCAAAACCCCTTAGGGAACCCAGGTATTTCACGAAAACACTTTTACGGGGATTCCCCGAAAGTGGACCCCAACTTTGGTATTGATTTACATTAGAACACGTAAATAAGTAGGCCATCTAATCACCGTCCGTAACTTGGTTAAAAAATTAAATTTGCATTATAGCAACAACAGTCATTAAACTGAAAAAGTGCAAAATAGTAGTTCAAGTATTATATTTGCATTATAGCGTGCCTGTAAATGTAGGCCATAGGCGCATAATTTGCTTGTTGTGTAAATAATCTACAACGAGCATTACGTATAGACATGGGCGTCCGCAGAAATTCTCATGGGGGGGGGAGCAAAGTTTTCCAGGGGGAGGTAAAGCATTGTGAAATTGTGAACTGAATAAAAAATGCACATGTTGAATAAATAAAGAAAGAATTATGTTTCTCATTTTCCAGGTGGGGGCAAATGGCCCCTCTTTACTCCATTGCGGACTACCCTGTGTAGAACGGTGCATGCTAAGTTGATAAATGTTCGACCATCCCAACGGTTAGAAACATATTTCTCAAATTAGCTTCCGAATTTTACAGAAAATCACAACACAGCACAAGTTGCTACTAGAGGACCCTCTTTATGTCAAAAATATACCTCCCCTTTCCATTTAATCTTCAACAGATAACATCAAATCCCCCTGGCGTGTTAACGGTACTGGTTAGAGCTTAAGTAGTTTCATAATTTTTGGTTTTCTTTTAGCTTTAGTTTCAGGTTCCAACTTGACCACTGTTCGTGTAGATATTTTTATGCCCATCCAGTAAAAGTTGGTTCTAATGAGCGCATTCCCCACGTCCAATTCATGGCATTGGATTAGTTGATCCCCGCCGCCTACTCTCGGACAACAAACAATATCACCACTGCCAGTTTCATTGATTGCCTGCCTCCTGGGCACTGCCAGACGCAGATAGTTATGTATACACTTGCATTGTAATATCATCTATGCCACGAGAGGGACTAGGGGAAATTATTTGATTTCCGAGTGACGTGGTTACTAAATTCCAAAACCGCACTAATATGGAATGAAATGTTAGTGGGGTTAACTCTTTAGTTCAGTTGATAGAGCATTCGACTGAGTAGCGAGAGATCTCCGGTTCAAATCCAACCTGGGGAAATAGTAAAATGTTTAGGTTATAACAATAGTTATTATTGATGGAAGCCTTCAGTAGACTGTGCCTGTGTTGTTTATAAATATGTCAGAACTTTTAAACTTCTAATTTGAAAGAGATGTTAACAGCCTCGTAGTATTCTGCACCCATAACTCTTTCCTGGCTATGTAGGCGTCAATTGAAAAACGTTTCTCTCAGTGTTTACCATAAGTAGTGTGGTCCCTTGGGATGAAACCAAAGTTACACTTCGAACGATTGGCCTAGAGAAGCTATCTCCTGGTTTGTTTATTTGAGCAGGAGAAAGTTTGGTTATGAACCACAGGTGGGAGAGGCGGAGCTATAGAGAAAATAAAAGGTTATGTAAACTTACAGTTAGAGTGTTTCAATGTGTTTTAATTTTATCTTGAATAAAAATCAGAAGGTTTAGGGCGAGTAAACCAGTTTCGAAGTCCTAGAAAGAGAAAGCTGACACGCCACCTTTACCTGATATCGATTTGTGATGCTGGGTGAAAAGGAAACTCATAGCTTGGTAGTAAATTATATAATTCTCATAATCCTTCTCTTCATTCTGTGGCTACTGTACGTTGGGGTGAGTGCTTGATGTGCTAATAAGTAATATGATGTTTACTTTAGAAAATAATGTTTTAGGTACAGTTTTAGGTACTTTTTTTGTACACTTTCATGATTTAAAATACTATACTCTGTAATTTCAAACAAAGACAAGAAAGGTACCACAACATTGTCTTTACTGGAATATCCTTGACAGTGACAGGACTGCACTATGGTTGCCTCTCATTCTAGAACTTTCATTTGAACTATACAAGTGATTTGTTTTTTAAAACAATATTATAAATATCAATTAACAATAGACTATATAAATTGTAAACTCTGAGGCATATAATGATATAGCCAATTGTAGGATATTTCAATGTTAACATTTAAGGCTAGTTATTTTTAAATTCCATATATATATATATAACATTCATTAAAGAATTATGAATGTAATGAATTTAATAATATCAATGTCGAATCTAAGTTTCAAATGGACAGC